ATATTTCTCAAAAGTATGAGATTTTATAAGTGAATTTTTTTTTTCACAATTTCAAATTCTAAAAAGTGTATTTTTTTTTTCATATTACATAATTTTGTATTTAATTGAGAACGATCTCACTGAGTGGTTATAAAAAAAGGATTAAATTCGTTTTACCTCCTATGATTTAAATATAGTTAGAAAATTTCCGTGTGATTTTGGAGGACTAAAGTGTCGTTGTTAGTTTTTTCATTCAAACTGATAGAAGGTGTATCACACACACTATTTTAGAGTGGGTTTAGTTTTCTAAAAAAATAAAATGAAATTAATACAACAAAAAGATTAATATGTTATTTAAATAAATAAAATATAATATAATTAACCATTAATCTAAAATATGAAATATAACTAAATATTTTAAGTAAGAATATAAAATACAAAATAATTAGAAATTGATCTAAAATATGATTAAATTAAAATTAGATTTAAAATTTAGCAATTACAATAATTAATTAAATATTTAAGATTAACTTTGATTTAAAATATAATTAAATTAAAATTAGAATAAAAAGTTAAGAATTACAATAAATGATTAAGAATTTATAATTGTTGGCTTTTTGGCTTTTCGAAGGGTATTTTTGTGAATGTGAGCGTGCCAGCAAGGATCAATCAGTCCTTACAGAAATTATAATTGCCAACCAATTATCAGACGATTGTGTTTTAGTTCTTTTCAGCCTCAATGAAGAGGACTTTTACTGGTGGCTTGACTTAGGAGAAATTAAGAGAAATAACAGTAATATGAAGAACAATTGAAGTATTTCATAAAAATGAACACTTACAACGGTCCGAACTCAGCCTCGGAGAGGTTTACAACAGCAATCTACTTGAATCTACTTGAAGCTACTCCTATGAATCGAAGTGCAGTGCGAGTATTTAAAGTGCAGGTATTTAAAGAACAGGTATTTAAGGACTGGAAATGTAAATGACTGGAAAGAAAATATATGAAGTAAATGACTGGTTTGTATGGTCTGAGTCCGTCCCTCTTTCTGGGGGCTACCCTGCTATTTATACTCGTCAGTGATGACCTTCGAACTGCACTTCGAACTGTCGAACTGCTCCTCCATGATCGCTGGTCATGCTTCCTTACAAGTAGCTCCATTACGCCATTACTGGCAGTTGAGCTTCCCTCTTGTACTTAGATTTGAATATGAGTAACCGTTTGAAGACACGTCATCTTGCATCCCGTTTATTTGATCTAGTGTTACTCGGATCATGTGAGGACCAATGTTTATTGTCACGTGTACGATCAGGATTAAAGGCTTGAATAACCTTCCTTTATTACCCTTACTATGCCACGTGTCGAACTGTAACTGGCTTTTACAAAATATGTAGCCAACAATAATTACTTGTGTTTTAATTGAATTGATGTTTAAACATTATAAACTATGTGTATTAAAGGAGAGAAAGATGGTGTTATAGTCATTTTACATCTCCAGTTAACTATGTTAATAGTTGCACTTTAGTTCAAAATCACATGAAACCTTTTTGGCTATTTTTGAACTATAAGGGTAAAGTGTTTTGGTTTCAAATTACAAAGGAATAAAACAAAATTTTCCCTATAAAAAATCTAAATTTTATGGAAAAAAAAAAAGATGTATATTTTAAAAGTTGTAAAATTCTAAAGTTTTGAAACATTAAAAAAAAAAAAAAAAAAAAAAAATAAAGTTTTGAAACATTAAAAAAAAAAAAAAAAAAAAAAAAGAAAAGAAAGAAAGAAGTCTTTCATATAAGCATGTTAATCAACTAGGCTTAGCCTAGTTGGTTACTATAACTTTCCTAAGAGTTTAGTCTTTCCTAAGAGTTTAGTCTCTAGGGGAGGTCATTTTCAAATTACAAAGGAATAAAACAAAATTTTCCCTATAAAAAATCTAAATTTTATGGAAAAAAAAAAAGATGTATATTTTAAAAGTTGTAAAATTCTAAAGTTTTGAAACATTAAAAAAAAAAAAAAGAAAAAGAAAAAAAAGAAAGAAAGAAGTCTTTCATATAAGCATGTTAATCAACTAGGCTTAGCCTAGTTGGTTACTATGACTTTCCTAAGAGTTTAGTCTCTAGGGGAGGTCATAGGTTTAAATATCCTTAATGGAGTTAAATTAAAGAGACAAACACTTGACTTTGTAAAAGATGTGGAGGTTAACTTTTATAGGTGTTAATCTGACAATTAACAATTGACTTTTACTAATCAAAATAAAAAAATAAAAATATAAGCATGTTGACCAAAATTTATGAACAAAACACAACCTTCGAGTATTTGGCGGAACTTCTAAGGGGTTGCTTGGGATGTTGGTTTGGGCTAAATTAGCTCATAAAAAGACAAAATAGGTTAAAAAACACAAAATATCATATTTAAAACATAATCATTTCATATTGTCTCTCACAAAATTATAAAATAAAAAATAAAAAAATTATCATAAACAAAACTTTTTAAGACGGATTAAAATATCCAAAAAATTAAAAAAATCACTAAAACAATTTATTCCAAACGACCCCTAAGCTCATAAGTCCTACAAAACATATATTTGTTTGGTGAGATTTTTTAGAGGGATTTCTAAGTGCATCTATTGAAAGTCCATTTTGTTGCCGGAGTCGCAGAGACTGGCTTCTCGAAACAACTTGCCGAGAAGAGACTTTTCAATTCAATGTTAAAATTTTAATTTTGATATTTATAAACTTACACCTTGTTCAGTTTTCAAATTTCAAAATTAATTTTTAATATTTTTGTTTTTTGCATTTTTTGTCTTTAATAATTTTTTTTTTTAAATAAATTTAGTTGAATATTTATTAATTTTTAGATACATCTAATCTAGAGGCTTCTAAATAGTAAAATATTTGTGAAGAAAAGTAAAAACATTACTAAAAATAAAAAATATTTATTAGTATTTTTTATTGTCTTTAGTGACATTTTTTTAAAAAAATATTTCGTTTTAAGTACATACACATTAAGTGCATCTAAAAAAATTCACTAAAAATGAAAAATATAAAAAAACATATAACTTGAAGATAATTTTCAAAAACTAAACAAAATAGAGATTTTCCCAGTTAAAAAGGACTAGAAAATGCTGAGTGTTCATTGATTCATATATATATATATATATTTTTTTTTGAGCCAAATGTTTTTTGGTATTTATTTCAATCAAACTAGTTTATATTTCATTTCAAAAAAATGCAGAAAATATATTTTGAAAAAGAAACAAAGTGATTTGGCTTTTGTTTCTGTTTAAACAAACTAAGAATAATTAAATATATATATATATATATATATATATCTGATCCTATTTGATGGGATTTAAGATTTTGTTTGATTTGGTTTGGTCATAGAAAAAAAATATTTGGAGAAGTTCCACCAAACAAGGCCTTAGTATTATTCATCTATATTTTAAGGCTTTGTTTAAATTATGAATTTGATTAGGGATAGGAATGAAATAAATAAATAAATAAATTAGAAGCTGGTTGAAATTTGAATGAATTATAGTTATATTCTACCTATATTTTAATGTTTGTTTAATAAAATCATCTATAAAAAAAAGAAAAAAGAAAAGTTAATTAGACATTTGTAACCTCATAACACCATTTGTTTTTTTTAAAAAAATGGTTAGTATGATATTTTGATAATTTTTATTAAGAAAATAATTAAGACTTGATTATGGGACTATAGATATCCGATTAACCTAATTTTTTATTATTATTTATGAATAATATGTTTCATATACCCTACGATATGAATAATTCGGATCATCAAAATAGATTAAGTATAACAATAAACCTATCCGTTTTCTTTTTCTACTTGGGACATTTACACACAAGTTCTAATTTATGAATTTATATTCCATTAAGTCCTAATTAAGATTTTTTAGACCATCAAGTCCCATTAAATTTTTAATAGTCGAAATTGCTCTTTAAATAATGATTATTCATTATTTATAATTATTTGTAAAGGAATATGATGATTTGACATTTATTTTGATTTTTAAAATTTTAAAACATCAACTTTCAAATTGGAAAAAAATAAAATAAATAAATAACTATTTTTTTTTGAAAAAAATTTAAAAAACTGAATTATTTTTTTATACAAAACTGAAAATTTTGTATTTATAAAGCAATATAATGATGGAACATTGATGTGCAAAATTGAAAAAAAAAAATTAAAATGAAAAACTCATAATATTTTTAGTTTTAAAATTGGAAAAAACTAATAATATTCTCAATTTTATTGAATAGTTGAATCAAACCAATAAGTAGAGGGCAAAAACGTTTAATCCCATACTTTATTTTTTTTTCATCAGTTAGTGAAACAATTATCTGAAACATTACTATGCAAAATTAATAATGCTCTTACTTTTATAAATTAGGAAAAATTAATAATATTCTTAATTTTACTAAACAGGGCTTATTGGTTCAAAAAATCTTAGATAGGACCTGAGCTATCATAATATTTATAAATATTATTATTAGGTAATTAACTCTTTTTAGTTAGTTAATGTTAATTTTCCGAATCGGCAAAAGAGAGAATTTTATCTTCACTTTTTATTTCTTTCTTTGATATCTCTGTTTTTGTTTTACTTGCAGATACAGATTGAGAGCTTTATCCTCTGAAATTTGAATCTCAAACTAGTTTCTTCTTCAATATTTGTTTCAAAAAAAACAAAAAAAAAAAACAAAAAAACAAAGAAAGAAAGAAAGAGAAAAAGTGGATTGAAAATGAGTGCCCTGCAAGGTGCATTTTCAATTGGAGCAAGGATCCTCTAGAGTGATTTTTTCCTAAAGTTTCCTAGAGTGCTACACTGTGTAGTTGAGATTTACTGGCAAGTCACATCAATTTTTCTGATGTGACTTGCCAGTAAATCTCAACCACACAATGTAGCACTCTAGGAAACTTTAAGAAAATTTCACTCTAGAGGATCCTTGGTGTTTCAATTGTAGGGGCAATTGCAGGGAGAATAGTTGAGCCAGTGATCCAATTAATGGTGCTCCACGTTGGTTTTGTTTTTCAGTACAAGAAGAAGCAGAAGAAACTGGAAGTTGAAATTAAAAACCTTGAAGGGCAGAGAAAACAAATCGAAGAAAAATTTGATGAAGCCATTACTCGTGGTGAAGAAGTTGATGAACGTGTTTCAAACTGGCTAGCGGAGGTGGAAGAAAAAGTTCAGAAAATTAAGGATGACAATACAATTAACAAAAACATGCAGTGCTTTAAATTCTCATGTCCGGATTACATCTCGCGCTACCGTATGAGCAAGGAAGCCGAAAACAAGACGGAAGAAGTAAAAAATCTCACTCAAAGTGGCAATTTTAGCACAGTTGCACATCCTAAGCCATTTGCTCAAGAACTTCAATTCCCATCATCAAGTGCAAACTATGCAAATTTTGAGTCGCGAGAATTGGTTTTCAGTAACATCATGGCGGCATTACAAGATTCCAATGTTAAAATGATTGGAGTATATGGAACAGGAGGTATTGGTAAGACGACAATGGTTGAGGAGATTGGCAAACAAGTGAAAAATGGACTTTTTGATGAAGTCGTGGTGGCAGTTGTCTCTCAGGACGCAAATGTGAGCAATATATTCAAGGGCAACTTGCTGTCCGCTTAAGACTGAAACTAATTGAGGAAACTGAACTGGGAAAAGCAAATGAACTGTGGAATAGATTAAACAATGGAAAGAAAAATCTCATTATATTGGATGATATTTGGCAAGAATTGAACTTGAAGACAATAGAGTGTTCCTATCACAGATGGAAACAAAGGTTGCAAAATTGTGATAACATCTCAAATCCGAGATGTGTTGGAGAAGATGAAAGTTGATAGATATTTTCCAATGCAAATATTATTAGAGAAAGAAGCATGGGCCCTGTTCAAGAAGAAGGTGGGAAATTCCGTTGACTCTCTTGAACTCCATGATATAGCTGATGCAATCTGTAAAGAGTGTGGAGGCTTGCCAGTCGCTATACTTGCAATTGGAGCTGCATTGAAAGATAAGAAAAAATATGCCTGGGAAGATGTACTTGATCAATTCAAAGATTCCATGCTCAAGAATATTGCGGGAATCGAGCCAAAGGTGTATGCTTTCTTAAAGCTAAGCTATGATCGGTTAGAATCTAGTGATGCAAAATCATGCTTCTTGCTGTGTTGTTTCTTTCCTGAAGATGCTAATATTTCAATTGAAGCATGCCAGAGGTGGAGAGGGGTCTTTGATGGAACGTCATGGACTAAATCCGTCAGGCTTCTTCAATAATTTAAGGCCATGTTTGTTTGGGTGGACATGGGTTTGGAATTGGACTAATAGTCCAATAAAATTATTAATCCGATATTTGGTTAAACAATTGAAATACGCACTAATTATTTTAAACTTGACTATTAGTTAATATAGGATATATAATCCAACGGATTCGTAGTCTTAGGACTATTAGCCATGGGAATGCTAATCCAATCCGCCCAAATAAACATGTCCTAACTGAATTAACAATTGAAGATTGTAGGTTGGATTGGAATATCTCTTCTCCCTGTCCTGTGCAAGAGGATTTCCACGACTCCAGAGACTACGAATTGTTGATTGTGAGATGATGGAAGCAATTGTTGGAATTGAAAAAGTAAAAGAAAAAGATGAAGATGAACTCTCAAGTCAGGTAATTAATTTCCGTCAGTTGGAATATTTGAGGGCTTGTTTGGCATCTACTGTATAAGTCAAAAAGTTACTCCAAAATCTAAAAAGATATCACTATTCATAAAAAAAAAAAAAATTAAAATTAATTTTCTTCAAAATCACTATTCACCGAATTGATGTGTGCGGCAGTGGTGGAAAAAGAAATGATTGGGTGTGGTTTTTACACACACCGTTGTTCGTCCTATGGGCGACAACACTCTTGAGCTTCCGGATGATTTGCTATGTCCACAAATCCACACCTTGACCATACTATTGAAAAGGAATATCAATCCTTTGCTTAATGTTCCAGATAGGTTTTTCAGTGGAATGGAGAAACTTACGATTTTAGAATTGAATAGAATATGTATGTTGCCTCTATTATCTCTTGCAAATTTGGTTAACCTTCGGATGTTATGGTTAGATAATTGTAAGTTGGGAGACATATCTATACTCAAGGATCTAAATAATAACATTGAAATACTTAGCCTTCGAGGTTCTAATATCGAGGTTTTGCCATCAGAGATAGGACAATTGACTCGTCTTCGGTTGTTAGATCTGAGAAATTGTTACCAGCTCACAGAGATTCCACAAGGTGTCATATCCAATATCCAATTTGTCTCTCGCCTGGAAGAATTATACATTTTAGATGAGTTTGGGTATAGGGAGGGAAGATGCAAAGTGAATCTTGATGAGTTGGGGAAATTGACGCAATTAACCACTTTACAGATTCACATACCAAATGTCACGCTATTGCCCAAGGACTTCCGCTTTGAAAATTTGATCAGATTTAAAATATCAATGGGTAAGGAATATCATCGTTTTTCTGAAACTTATTCTAAGTCGTGTAAACTTGCGGGTGTTTCCTCAATGGACAAGTTAATCGTTTTGTTGATGAGAGCCGAAGAAGAGCTACATTTGGAAAAAATTGAAGGTTTACAAGAGGTGCTGCATGCCAGAGGTGGAGAGGGGTCTTTGATGGAACGTCATGGACTAAATCCGTCAGGCTTCTTCAATAATTTAAGGCCATGTTTGTTTGGGTGGACATGGGTTTGGAATTGGACTAATAGTCCAATAAAATTATTAATCCGATATTTGGTTAAACAATTGAAATACGCACTAATTATTTTAAACTTGACTATTAGTTAATATAGGATATATAATCCAACGGATTCGTAGTCTTAGGACTATTAGCCATGGGAATGCTAATCCAATCCGCCCAAATAAACATGTCCTAACTGAATTAACAATTGAAGATTGTAGGTTGGATTGGAATATCTCTTCTCCCTGTCCTGTGCAAGAGGATTTCCACGACTCCAGAGACTACGAATTGTTGATTGTGAGATGATGGAAGCAATTGTTGGAATTGAAAAAGAAAAAGAAAAAGATGAAGATGAACTCTCAAGTCAGGTAATTAATTTCCGTCAGTTGGAATATTTGAGTCTCGAGAATCTACCCAAGCTCATAAGCTTCTACCCCAAACTGGAGAAGATGTCAACATCCGAAGGAAATTCTTCTACCATGACACAATCTTTGTTTAATGAAAAGGTATGCTTTATCAATACGCTTTTCATTTGCTTTAATCCATTATATCTAGTTATTATAAAATGCTTTATGCATTAGGAATACAATCAAACAGTGCTAGGTTATTTTCAATAGAAATTAAAATTGTTAATCCCTAAAAAAATCACCAAATGGTTGGTCACACAGTGGCAAGCATGAAATCATTACAACAAATTAAGATTTTAAAACTTACAAAATTATGAATTAAATTAATTTTAAGAACAAAATATTTAAGTTGTCAAAAGTGTTGTTGTTGTTGTGTATTTAGCGATGAAATTAGATATTTAGTGATGAATTATAATCATTTTTTGACCAAACTTTGTCTAAAAAAGTGAACATCTTATGCACCAAATTGTTTTCTCTTAAAATGCATTTATTAACCACATTTTTAAAATTTTGATACAAAAGTCTGTTTTTTAACTTTTTCACAAAAATTAGTCTCTAAATGTTTCTTCCTTCATTTTGGGGACAAAAATTTAATTTTTAAAACTCTTTCTCCCTTACCTCTATAAATGAAGAGAAATATCAATTATTTCCATTATTTCATTCCCACGTCAAATTTAATTAATCAATTTTTTTTGTCACCAAGTATTGCAAATGAAGTTTTAGGGATTGGTTTACTTTTAGATTTGCTACTAAACAAAACTAATGTGCTCCTAGCCCCCTACCCATAATCTACATGAAGCAAAATTTAGATGAAGCCCCAAAGCATTAATCTAATTTTTTTTATATATATTTTAAATGTTAAAAATACGCATTATTAGTTCAAATTTATGTTGACAAGTAAATTAACCTAGCAAAAAACTTATGCCAGCATGCTTGTGTGATTTTTTTTTATTTTTAAAATCGATATAAGATTAATTATAAATATGAGAAATATTATATCAAACTGGACAATTAAAATTTAACAGTAGACAAAGCCATATATTGTATCAATGGAAAATGCCAACTGAGTTGTGATATACGCAGTAGCTTGAAAGTTTCCAAAGTTCTACCGTGTATGCTATGAAAAACTTTTGAGACTCTTGAAAAGGTTCTTTCAATTTGATCAACAATAATGGCATGATCTGTTAAGTGTCAATTTTTAATTTATCACAAATCTAGTCATATAAGACATAACTGTCTTGCCACATCATTTTGGATGAATTATAATATTTAAATTGTGATTTTCTAATATTTCTATTATAAATCTAATAGTAAATGGGATTCAAACTCAAACATTACCATCAAGCCTAGACACTAGAAAATATATTCTTATTTAGGAGATTCTATAAGTTTCTAATTTCAATATTCTAGGTGGAATTTAATGTGTTTTTAAGTCGAAAAATTCTACAATACACACCCTTTAAAATGACTATTTAAATTATGATTCATGAAATCATATGTATCCCTAGTTATGTCATTTTCCTCTTTAGTTCTGATCAATTTTCTTCTTTAGTTATGACTTTATTTTAGTTTTGACTTATGAGATCCTTGATTATACTTTATGTAGTGTTTGGTTATAATTTTTTTATTTATTATTTTATTTTTATTTTCTTTTAAGACTCAGGAAGTATAGAATTATGTAATTTTTTTCTTTAGTTATAAAGTGCATATTTAAAGAGTATGTATCATAATATTTCTCCTTTATATTTGAACAACTTTTCGCCATCTTAAAAAAAAAAAAAAAGTCTAAACAACTTTCTTCAACACACCACATTTGCCTACTAAAAGTGAAGGATTATATAATTGTATGTTTTAACTAAATTTAGGCCGTGTAATTGATGAAAGAATGTTTAATAACTTTGTTAAAGTGTGTTAAGGTGCGGGGAAAAATAATTATGGTATGACAATATTGTTTTTATTCTTTTTAAGGATAAAATTGTATTATTATATTTTTAAAAAAATCTGTAATGCTCTACTTTTTAACTAAATGTTTTAAAATAATATTATCTAAAAGGGTATTCAAGAAATATTGTCATGCTAAGAGTGGGAATAGACCAGATTGGCCAATTATTTATGGTAATACTTTTTATTATTAATAATAATATTTGATATTACAATAAAACTCAATAAATTATAATAGTCAAATATAATATATAATTTATACAATTTTTTTTCCCCCCAAAAGTATAAAAGAAAAACCCAAACAAATATACAAGGAATAAGATTCAAACATTAGTAGGGAAATTATCTTGATAAGAGGCAATATAATATTTGTCAATAGGTAAGGGACCCCTAAAAAACAACCTTTATTGAGGAGGAGGATCTCCTTCAGTCCAGATTTTGGATTGGAGTGTGCTGTTTGAGCTCGTGAGACCCACCACGGTTCTCACTTTGATGATTTGAAAAGTTTATTTTGTTGGACACTATGTTTATTTCATCCCCTCTGTAGACATCCTATTTTTGACCGTCCTCAAGACTTGGACGTCACCGTTTGAACACTCGGTGATTATCCATGTTTGTGTTCGTTTGGAGTTCCCGGAGGCCTCGGCTCGCGCGCCTTGCCTCAGGATCTCCGAACCCGACCGTTTAGTGTCTGGTTTTGCACCAAACACTGACATCTTGCCTTTGAGAGGCAGGGTAGGGCTTGTAGACCATCCCCACCCACCACCGGCAGTGGCTAGAGGCCACCGGCTGGTTTTTGCTGCCACCGGCAATTTTTATTGCCGGCCTCCATTTGCATCAACTTACGTTCCATACGGCTTGCATGCCTCATTCTTGCATTGTCATGCATGTTGCTAACAATATTGTACCTGTTAAGTTTGTTTTCTTTGCAGGCACGATATTGTATGTACGGTTCATTTGA